ATTTCGGTCTAGACAGTCATGATAATAATAATAATAATAATAATTTGACCCCAAGCTGAGACTTAAAATAAAATATAAAACCGAAACGTGTGAAAGTCTGGAAGAACAAAGTTATTACTTATTAACAATGCAACTTGAAATGATATTCAAATCTATGAGAAAAAATGAATTTATTCCTTTTCTGATAAACGGTGTATGCAATGTAATATTATGTTTTCAAGTAAATCTGGAATAATCAAAAACACAGATGTGGCGTTTATATTTTAATAATACAATATTATTCGAAAAACTTGTTGTAGGTAAAGGTAAGTATAATATTATCATATAATATATTTGAATAAATCAATAAACACACAAGTACGTTTCACAAAATACAATATATAAAATATAATGAATTATTATTATAGTTAGTGTTCTAATCACAGGTGAAACATTTTAAGAAAATTATTATTTATCCCACTAGTTGTTTTTGCTCGGAAGTCTGATTTTTTCGACTGCTTTTAAAAGTCTATTTTTTTAACTATACCCTTTTTATTGTTTACGGTTACCGTGTGTGTAAGTAATCAATCATCTTAATACAAACATAATATTTTGATAGATTTTCCCTGCTGTCAGTAAAAATGTTTTAATTAATTTTGTAAATATTTTACATAGGTATTTAATAAACGTGGTTAAATGCTTGTAGATTAAACTTAACAATTTAACGATCAATAAACTAAAACACAAACCAATAGAATATAATTATTAAGTTTTGTGCATTTTTATTATTTTCCAAATTTTTACAATTTAATAACTCAAACATTTTGCATCAATATTTGTAGAGATGTGTTTAAAGTAAATTTATAAAAATAAAATGTTAATCATGATTGTATCCAACAATATTTTGGCCATGCTTACAATGATGGTGACGGACCTTAAGCAAATTACCATCGAATTGATTGTCCTCTAAATATTTTAAAGTTATGTTCTTGATTTTTTCAGATATAGGTAGTGCATTTACGAGAATCATAACAATAGGTTTCACTGCCCCTATAAAGAAAATTATATTATTTATAGTAAAACAAAAGTACATACTGTCTGCTTATTATATTACTATATTATAATTAGGGCTAGGGACTTCTAGGAGTTGTCTATATTTAAAAACATAGCTAAGTACCCTAATATAGAAATTTATTTCGTAGCAATGCGAGATTATATTTAAAATTTATAGTTGCATATTTTGCAATTTGACAATTTTTTTATAGTAGATAGGTGGAAAATTATAAATTAATAAAAAAAACCTAATTTCAAAGTACATATTAGTATGATGGTTTTATTTATGGAAAATAAATATTTTAAAATTAGTGTTTGTTTTTCTCGCCATCGATCGTATTGTTACTTATTGGTACAACACCCACATGCGTGATTCACAAAAAATCGATGTAAGAAGAAAAAAAAATTGGAAAAGAAAATTATCAGTTATTTGTTATTATACAAGATTTTTATTATAATTAATTACAGTTTAAAATTTTGAAAATATTATCTAGATATTAAAATTAAAAGGTTTTACTCAATAGGTGCATATTTAGTGATTCTTTAGTAACCTAACCTTTTTTTTTTTTTTTTTTTTTTTTTGTGTTTGAATCGACGACGCCACGGGGACTGCTTTCGCATTGCGTCCGTGGCGCCGCCATCGTTTATTGCTAAATAAAAATTAACAATTTATACATACGGATGGGGTAGACGGGACAATACCCCGACTTACCCCATCGGTGACATAACATGTTATACATCAATCATTTACATCATTCAATTTTGATTTTGTGACGCCTTCCTCCTCTTGTCTTGTCGGACCGACCGGAGTCCGTCGTCCTTGTAATCTCGTGCTTGGTGCTGAAAATTTCGACGGGCCGACCGGAGTCCGCCGCCCTGGATGTCGCGTGCGTCGTCTGATCCTCTCCTAAGCCCTCCTTGGTCTTGGTCCGCCTGGACGCTCCCTGTCTCTTTCGTCAGACTCTTTCTTACTCATCACCGCTCTGGCAAAGTCTTTGACGGCCTGCCAGTTTGCGTGAGTGGACAGCATGGCAGGCACTAGGTTGTCTACTGATACCGTTCCACCAGTCGCGCGTTCCAACTGCAGCCTCTCCTCGACCCATGCCGGGCATTCGACCAACGTGTGTTCCGCGCTGTCGCGGCATGAGTTGCAGTGGTGGCATGCGTCTGACTGCTCTTTGCCGATTCTGTGGAGGTAGACTCCAAAGCAACCATGTCCAGAAAGGATTTGGGTTAAATGAAAGTCTAGGTCCCCTTGTTTGCCGAGGCACCACCTTTCAACGTCGGGGATTAACCGTTTGCTCCATTCACCGGATGTAGACTCGGCGATGCGGGCTTTCCACTTCGCCATTGTTGAGGCGCGGGGAGAGAACTCACTGCGTACTCCAGACCTCCTTTCGCTGAACGAGGCACTGCGTTCCTCCGCCAGAAGGTCGGCAGGCGGCGTGCCAGCCAAGATGCTTGTTGCTGTTTCCGAAACTGTCCGGTAGCCGCAGATGCTTCGGAGTAGCGCCTTTCGCTGCACGCCATTCACCAGTGATTTGTTTCTCGGGACCAGGGACATTGTCTCCGCCCATGATGGTGCTCCGTAGAGGAGAATCGACGTCGTGACTGATAACAGAAGTTTCCTTCTAGACTCTTTTGGGCCTCCGATATTGGGCATAAGTCTCCCTAGGGCGCTTGACATTTTTTCCGCCTTAGATGCGGCTTCGACGATGTGGTCCTTGAAGAGTAGGCCGCGCTCCACTATCATCCCCAGGTATTTCATCTTGTCCTTCGGCTGGATAGTTTGCCCGTCAAGTATCAGCCTTGGGGTTTCATACTTGTATTTGTTGGAGAACACGACCGCCTCGGTTTTGTGAACTGCCAGTGACAGACCCATGTTCCGGATCTCATCGGAAACCAAAGAGAGCGTCTCATTGGCTGTTGTTTCCAGCTCTGGAATGGATTTGCCCGAGCTTACGACTAAGGTGTCGTCAGCGAAGCCGATCAGTCTGGACCCCCTCGGGAGTTGGAGTTGGAGAATCCGATCATAGGCGAGGTTCCAGAGAAGCGGGCCGACGACAGAGCCTTGCGGAACGCCACTCGACACCTGTATCTCCACTTTTTGGTCTCCAGCCGAGGTTTCGGCTGACCTCCCGGAAAAGTAGTCCTGGAAGACTCTTTTCAGGTACATGGGGGTTTCGGCCTGGCTTAGTGCAAGCATGACCTCGTTCCAGCCGATGGAGTTAAAGGCATTCTTGATATCCAGGCTGATTGCCACGCAGAACTTTGACGATGGGAAATTTATTTCCGTTAGGATCGTACTCTGGAGTTTCCTCACCGCATCGTCCGTGGACAGCTGCTTGGTAAAACCAAACTGGTTACGGGACAATCCGCCTCTACCGGCAATGTGCTCATGTAGCCTTGCCACCAACAGGGACTCGAATACTTTACCTACCACGTTCAGGAGACAGATAGGTCTGTATGAAGCAGGCTCCCCATCTGGTTTGTTGCCCTTCTTTAGGAGGATGACGCGGGCTCTCTTCCAGCCGGAAGGGATCGCTCCTTCTTTTATGCACTGGTTAAACATTCCCAGTAGCATGGACGGGCATACCTGGTGAACAACGCTAATTATTTTCCCATTTATGTTGTCCATACCTGGGGCGGTGTTTTTCCGCTTGATTCTTTCAACCGCTTTGTTAACCTCCTCTGTTGTGAAGGGTGGAGGCGTCTCATTTACTTCGAGAGTTTGCATCATCATCGGGGGATGGACGGGGAAGAGTGCTTCCGTGATTCGTCGTACTGATTCGAGTTCCATGTTGCTCGTTGCGGGAGGACCGCGTAGTCTTCGAGCGACCAGCTTGTAGGGTTTTCCCCATGGGTCATTGTCGATTGTTTCTAGCAGTTCGTTCCAACAGTTCTTTTTGCTCTGCGCGATGGCGATTTTCAGTCCTTTCCTGGCTTCCTTATAGGCTGAGTTCGCGGTGATTGCAGTTTCCTCTTCAATAGCAGAGTATTGTCCACGTGCGCGGCTGCGGTGGAGTTTTGAGGCACATCTGGTTTTGGTTCGCTTCGCCGCCACGCATTTCCTTCGCTCGGAGGCAATTTCTTCGTTCCACCAGTGAGCCGGAGGTTTCCCCGTAGGGTTAGGAACCATGCGCTTGAGGGTGAAGTCGCAGGCCTTAGTGATGGACTCGTGTACGGCCTGGGCTCGTTGTTCGGCATTGGCAGATGTCGCAAACAGGGTGGGATCGCTGGTCCACCTCGCCAAAAGAAGTCCAATTTCCATATCTTGGCTGCTAATCTCGCCTTCGGTCTTCCAGCCCCTCGGCTCGTATCTGATTGCGGGCGCTCTGGTTCTAGTATCCTCTATTTGAAACGCGATGTACTGATGGTCGGACATGCTTTCCACCTCGTCGCACACGCGCCATCCAGAGACGCGTCTCACAAGGGACTCGGACACGGCAGTGATGTCTACTATAGAGCCTCTACCTATACCCACAAAGGTTGGCTTTGATCCCTCGTTTAGGACCTGCAGTCCAAGAGAGTTAAGCAGCGTGCTCAGATCTTCTCCTCGGGTATCGCGGCACCAGTCTCCCCATGCCGCTGACCGCGCATTGAAATCTCCTGTTATGAGTACTGGGACCCCTGGTTCGACGGCTCTGACCTTGTGTTCCAATCTCCGCAGGAGGTCTTCAAACTCGGCCCGTGACTTGTTGGGTGAAGCGTAGCAGCTAAAAGTCTGGACTCCGTTGATGCGGGCGGACACGAACTCTGGATCTCTGTGGATTTCGGCTGCGGTGACTGCGTTACCTGCGAGCCAAATGGCTGCTCTCTGGGTTCCAGAGCTGGTGAACCATGAAGTTGCTATTTCGGGAGCAGAATAGGGGTCGGTGATGAGCACAACCTCCACGCGCTGCTCGGCCACATGCTGCCGGAGCATGTCCTGAGCCACTTTGCAGTGGTTCAGGTTGCATTGAATGTATTTAATCATTTGGAGGAGGGTTCCTCTCAGGCTCCTCGCATTGTAGAGGCGGGGTCCTGCTTTGCGTCGGTTTGGTTTTCTCCCTTGGTGGAGCAACACATTCTCGAGCCAGGTGTTCCAGAGATTTACACGTGAAGCACGCTTTCGGTTTCGCCTCTGAGTTGCAAGCCGCGGCTACGTGCCCTGTCCCTTGGCATTTATAGCACACCCTGTCCTTCCTCTCCAACAGTTTGGCTCTGCACATCGCCCAGCCTATGCGGATTCTACCAGCGTCTGCCACTTTTGAGGCTACCTTCATCGGTATTCTACAAAAGGCTGTTCGGCTTCCTTGGTTATCAGATATTCTGATTTGACAGTCCCCGAAACTGCTGTCAAAGTTTACCAGCTGCGAAATCACTTCCGCCTCCTCTATCCAGTTTGGCACGTCCAGGATAAGAATTGGGGTGCTTCTAGTCGGTCTCCTAACAGCTGCTGCTGCTCCAACGGCCTCCCTTATCCCTTCTGCAAGCCTGTCGGCGTCATCCTTTCCGTCTACTTCAATAATGATGCCGCCTGCCTTTGAGCGTTTGGCACCTCTCACCGTGACACCGAGTGGGTTAAGGTCGATGGCAGTAACTTTTTTCATTACAGAGGCGTAGGTTTCTCCCTCGGCCAGTTGGTCTATCATTATAGCCTCGGTCTTTGGGGTCCTGCTCTTCACCAGTCTGGCAGCCTCTTTCCTCTTATTCTTGGTCTTTGCTCGTGGCTCTTCCCGTTGCTGTTGCTGTTGGGCTTGGCGAGGATTCCTCTTGCTCTCACCGTTTCTCACCGTTTTCCACTCGCTGGCTGGAGGGTTTCCGTTTGGGGCATGGCTGCTGCATGATGGCTCGTCCTGTGGTTGGCCCTGCCACGGCAGTGTGTCCTTTTTCTGAGCAGCTTCAGCAAACGTCTGTTTCCTCTGTTTCCTCTGCGGTCCTTTTGAGACTTTGGGGGAGGTAGGCTGGTCTGGTGGTTGAACGTCGTGCAAGTTCCGTTGTTGTTGCTGTTGCAGTTGTTGTGACAGCTCCCCTATTGCTTCACCCTGCTTTTCTATCATCTTTCTGATTTCGTTTATGGCAGTTCTGTTCTCTTCCAGGGCTGGCACGACCCCGGCTGTTGTGATCTTCTGGTCGCTAGACCCTCTGATAGCTGCCTTCTCCGCCTCGTAGAAGGCGCTGTGGACGCTGGTTGTGGTCGATTTTAAGCTCTCCGACGATTTGATGGCCTGATCAATGGCATCCATTACTACAGGGGATTTTGTTTTTTCCCGACATGTCGCCAGGTGATCAATGGCTGCAAGCATGGCGTTGATCTGCTTGTATTGTTGCTTGATAGTGGTCTTCAGGTTTCCTATAACCGTCTGCATGCATGGCTGCTTTTCCTTGCTGGTGCTCGATGCAGTCAGCATAGCATTGAGCTTTGGGCTCGGTTGTTGATTGTTTGATGAATGGCCCCCCCCAGAATCCGTGGGGCCTGTCTCCGCAGAGAGTGGATTCCCCGGCTTGGCCGGTTCACCACCTGGGGTACAATTTTCATTTAGTTTTGTCTCCATCATTCAAACGGCTTGTAATCCACGGGTCGCCGCTTCCGTGGATGGTCGGTGCCTTGGCGGGGGTTTACCGGGCCCCCGTTGCGTTGCGTCCGGTCCGTTGAGTCCTGATCGTGCTGCTTCTCCAGGGTTGATCGCGTTCTGGAGAGGCTGTTGAGGACAGTTCTAGCCTGGTTTTTCTGTCGGGGATTTCCTTCCCTTAGGGCTTTGCTCGTCCGGGAGCAGGCTACCTCCGACCTTGCCGGCCCCAACTGGTTAAGGTCAGGGCCGGTTCAGAGCCTTTGCAGGTGTGTGCAGGCTGGTTCCGAGCCTGCCGATCCCTACCAGTGAAGGTAAGAACCGGCTCTCTGTGCTCCGACTACGACTGGTTAAGGTCGCAGCCGGGTTAGTAACCTAACCTAACCTATTAAAACCCTATTTTAAGGTTTTTAAGGGCATGAAGTCCCTAGCACTAATTATAATTTACAATATAAATGTTTAAAGTACCTTCTTTGCAGAACACCATTATTATGTAAGACTTGAAATCATCAGAATCGACGATAACACCATGTGGAATTATAAAGCCTATAATAAATAATTGTATCTGTAGTATCGTTGGGTTAATTAATTAATTAATTAATAAAAAGTATACCAACCTCCTAGTCCTGTTATCTTCGCGTTGGACTTTAACACGAAACCTGAACAGACAACTAGCTATAACCGTCTGACAGAAAACATACAAGTAAAAATAATAAAAATATTGTACATCACTAAACTATTATAACTACTCCCAGTGGAGTGTCCAGGTTAGGTTAGGTTAGGTTAGTGGAGGATCCAGGTCGGACACTCCGTCCCCCTAATATAATTTGTTGACAACGCACAATATGTAAGATTACATTTTTGTTTTGTAATTTGATTTTATGGTTTTTATTTTCCAAATGAATTTATGATAGCCATTGTACATTTAACTGTCAATACTTATTATTGTGATATGATATTAAGTTCAAATTAAAAAAAATCGTAATACTCACTTCGTAGTATTATTTGGTTCATGTTTAAATGCCGTTTTCCGAAGAACGAAGCTGTTGCCAACTCATAAGTCACGGAACTTTCTCTAAAATAATTATTTAATTTTTTTAAATCAATAAAGCCAATATAATTTTAAATAATACCAATATAATGACCTACGCTGTGTTCGTCGAAAACATGACAAATGAAATAACACTATCTTCTATAGCTATTGTAAAATCAATTCCACTACATCTGCACGGGCTTCGGACATCTATAAATTATTCGGTAATTTGTTATTAAATTCAATTTCATAAGTTCTAAGTTATATGAATACAGTGTTCGTCTATTTCACATATTATATCAGCTAATAAATATAATTTAAGTAGATAGAAATCTTTCATAAAGTTTGGCAATTATATCATAGGTAGCTAAATATATTTTTGGTTAATACACATTAAAACAACTTTTAGAGCCGTCTGTTCTTCAAAAAATGTAGAATGATTTATTGAATCGTAGCACTTTTGAAGGGTGTTGTTCAAAAATCGGATTTCACTTTTAAATTTATCTTACAAACCTAAATAAGTTTTCAGTTATGATTTAATATGAAATACAGTGTTGTCATTTATTAAATTAATTACAGTTTATAACAACGATTTTGGTATACGATATTCACTTGTAAATTGACTACAATAATCCGTGGTTGATGGAATATTTGACTCGTAAATGGTGTACCATCTCCCGACAACCTTGAACATAGAAACTTTTTCAATCAACTACCTGGAGTCTTGCACACTTTGGTCAGTTTAAAATTTAAATCTTTTATAATTTTTTTTTTTTTTACTTTTTCTACCGTTTTTGTCTCGTAAGCCGCGAACGTCCCACACGACGATTTCATATAGTAAGGATTTTCCAGCCATTGGATATTATTATATTGATTGGCTGGCACACTCAGATAGACTGTATCGGGCTTCGGCATGTTTAATTGGAACGCAAATGTTAATTTTAAACACTGAAAAATCGTCGCGCTTGATAATAATATTCGTTTTGCAGACTTCATGGTTTTTGCAATACACCGTTTGATGCCACACAACAGAATATACTTTGTAGTTGTAGTAATGTGCTGGATGTATAATGCCTTCCACAGAACGTAAATCAATCTATAGCACTTGAACAAACAAATAATAATATGATAAAATGGTTCGTTAGATTGCATGGCAATTATAAACCGATTAAATACTTTAATGTAGCCGCATGTGAATATAACAATTTAATATTATGAGCTTTATCATACAATGTAAATTTGCTCTTGCTGTGTGTTTGTGTTTAGCATCTGGGACAGAGTGTCAATTTTTTTTTTATAACTTATCCATCCACAACTTCCACGTGAGTATCTATACTGCTCAATAAGTGGTGACCCGTTGAATATATAATATGTTATAAATAGGAAGCAATAGTTTCACAAATTATGTATGCCCTAAATTGGCATAACTAGAGGGGTATAAGGGGACTTATAGGGCTTATAGGCCCCTCCTGACTAATATTTAGCCCCCAAAAATATTTCTTATTAATTTGGATGTAGGCCCTCTATGGATTATTATAAATAAATAGTTTTGTTAGCCCCCCCCCCAGATTTTTAACCCTAGTTGCACCTGTGATGCACTGTGCACAATCATATAGTGTATAATGTTGTATGATATAATATAATACACTTCAATAATTATGAAGTATATTAATATAACTACCTACTAAAAAACTAAAAACCTAAAAGTTCCTGTCAACATATTTATATTACGTATGCGATACAATTGATCGAAAATATCATATCGTTGGCAGTCTACCTTAATATTCTTGCATATTAAAAAAAAAAAAACTTACTTTAATTAAGTTTTCATCATTTTTTAATATTATAATATGTAAGATGCAAAAGTGCAAAACTGTATTGACGCTAAGCTGGTTTATATATTTTAAAATCGCAAGATAACTGTGATCGTTTTCATTAACAACTTAATAAATAAGAGTAATTTCACATACACAATCAACTTCATCGTAAAGAATTGTATTACTCGAAATTCGTATATAAGCAATTTATTCAAATGCAAAATCAATAACAGTCTCGTATTTTTACGACTGAAATTATAATAAATCTACCTATGGAAATGCGGTTGGTATAAAATTCAAATAAATAAATACTCCAAGTACACGGATCGATAAGAAATGTAAATCGGTTCTTCGTTATAGGTCATTAGGTCAATACATACTAATCTTAATAATATATAAACCAATTTAAAATAATCAAAATCAAATCGATTAAAAAAAAATAATATATTTTGAATGAATAATTTATAATGTTTATCCGAATATTTTATTGATGTTTGTTTGTGCATAACTTAATTTTGTAAGACTCTTTAAGATTACCGATTAAAGCTTAACAATAATAATACACAATAATACAAGCAAAAAATGTACCTTTTTTTAAATTGAGATTTAAGTCGATAAAAATATTTTAATAATTTCTAAAACGCTCATGTAGGTACACCGTAATACGTACACGTTATAGTTACATTATTTTCTATGAGACAATATGACTGCAATCTTGTACTTATATTATCGCTTGTACCTACTTGTAAATGAAAACAGTTTGCTAATGTTACTCTGAAAATCATTACTAATATATTATTTGCCATAATTTTAGGAAATTTTGGAATCAAAGTTTATTTTATCCATAGCATCTGTTGTACCAACTTATGGACATCCGAATGACGGGGTTCATAAAATAAACAATCTCAGAGAAACCAAAAATATACTACCACATACTAGTCTGAACCTCATTCATTCAATCGCAAAGATGAAGTCATCTTTGCGATTATAAGCAATTGTAAATAGACTAAATTTTATAGATTACTCAGAGATGAACCAACACTGTTCCAAACCTATGGAGAACCTCTGGCAGTCAAGCACATCCCCGAGTACTGTCGAGACCATATGGATGCTAGAAAAAGCCTAGGCATGCCTGGCAACCTCTTTGAAGCCCTCGAAGAACCATAAAAAAACCATCTTATTGCTCAAACATATTGATACCAATATGTACAACTTAATCTAAGAAAACCATT